GGTGAGAAATTAAATTATGTGTGTGGGTGAAGCATAATTATGTGTGGGAGTCCATGTGGGTATGTGGGTGAGGGTACATAGAAATGAATGGGTTGGGCTACAATTAGAAGTGCAAGTTCATGTTCTAATGGACAAAACCTTGAGATTTTCATCAATAAGGCAAGCATATGTTTTGACATCATGCCTAATAGCAGCTGGCATATAGTGACAGCCTTTCAGGCCTCTTTGAAGGCTTGCAAATCAGAATCTATGCTTTTCTATTAAGACTTGAGACCCACATCTAACACTGACAGTGATTCCTCTTCTTAATAGTGGCACTTGGTGGTGTTCTGAATACTAAATGGTCTGGTAATTTTTCTAGCTTTAAAACACAACTGCAGACATGGGAGACTTGCTCCCCCTTCCTATCAAAGACAAGAGTTTGGAGGGAGTAGCAGCACAAAACAAACAGGCAAAAAATTTTCCTTTGAATTATGAAGTACGAAAATAAAAGTCCAGCTCTTTTAGCTAAGAGTATCAGCATACAGTTACATGTGTAACAAAATAAGCAAAATTTAGCTTGATAGCCTCACTTTTTTGTTATAAAATATTTATTCAGAAATATTTATGGAATTCTCCCCTCCCAACCCTGCCCCCCAAGTGTAAGCAACCAAGCAAGCAATGTCGGTTACAGGTGAAACAGGATCAGGAAGTGGTAGAAGGAAGACAGAGGAGAAAGAATCGAGAGGAAGGTAGGTACAAAAGTTATTTGGCTTGTCTGGAAACTAACACTGAAGCAGTGAGTTATGGTGAGAATTATAATAGTAATCTGATATATTTTGTATTACATTTAAAACAATGGAGTATTTTGTTGCCATCTTCAAAAGCAAGAGAGTATTTAAAAATACTAGCTTGTTGCTTAGGTAAATTCTTGAAATTAAAGCTATTTAATTGACCATTAGTTTGCTTAATGTGGTTCAATCTGTTACTCAATTCTCATAATTCTGGGTACTGCACAGCCCCCTCTTGTTTGTTCAGAGCTTAGGTTGTGTCTAGCAGAGCTCCACTATGGACAGAATTGTCAACCTTAAAAATAAAGTAGCCAGTTATTTTATCAACAAAATGAGTCTATTTGGGAACAGCAGAGCAACTGCAGTTTGGGACATGCAAACTTTAATGAACTATAGACAGGTCTGGAGAACAAAGAGGGTTTTGCTTTTAGAGAGATAAGGGAGGAGTTGAGCGGGGGGTGGTGGTTTTGAATGAGAGTTCATTGGAGGAAAAGGAGAGTGTTCATGGTTGTGGTGACTTCTCATTGGCTAAGATGTAGCAGTTCTCATTGGCTGGGCTGTTGCTGGGCTAGAACAAAATCTTCTTCCTCCTGCTGGGGTAGTAACATAAGCTTCCTCCTGCCAAGATATGTAAAGTAAGCTGCAATTAGTGGTACATGCTTGAGAGCTCTTTCTTCAGGACTTCTGGACTCTGTTTTGAAGGAGGTTTTCCTTTATTTATTTTCACAGAATCCAAGTGGGTCCACTACGGGCTTTTAAACTTTTTGGCCCCCTGGTGCTCCCAAGAAGCAGATTTAAGGTTAGTTAGTTATTATAACTTGGATGTAGGGACATTACATCCTGCCCCCAATATCTGATCTTGCCCTACAGTGGTTCTATGGAACAATTTTTATTCTTTGATTTTTATTTTGCATCTATGCAGGATGCTAATTTTTTACATTGTAGACATGCCTCAAAGATAGCCTCTCTCAAAGACCATTGTAACAATTTGTATCAGAGGTGTTCTTGCCAAAATGTTGCATATTCCTGTAAAAATAGTTACTGCAGCATTGTTTAATCCAGTTCTCTATCTACTAAGTGCTTTACATTTTTTTTTCCTCTGAGTACCTCCTACCTCATCCCCTCCCAGCAAGACAAGCTCAGACTCTAACATGGTTAGTGACTGATGGTGATTAACTCAGTTCCTCATAGAGATAGTGTAATTATCATTCAAGACATCTAGTGGGATATAAGATGAGTAGGCACTGAGTGTCCTCATGTTAGTGATTAAAGTCACTGGCCCTTACTGCTTTGTTGTCTTGTGTGGATTGCACATGAAGAGGAAGAAGTGAGGCATCTGGCTTTGGAAATGACTCTGGTAAATAATGCTTCATTCACTTAATTATAAAAACCATTCTGGGATGCTCTAGAGCTATTTACATAAGGCACAACATGGTTTAAATTCTTCAGATCTTAACAGCATTCTTCCAGAAGTCATATTGTAAGCCAGGAATAATTTAGCAGGTAGCATTTGTAATTTGTTTCTGAAAAAGTCTTTGAGCCTGTAACAAATCTTTTCACCTTCATTCATGCCATAAAACATTAAAGACCTAATTTTTGCCCTTTTTTTTCTTTCAACTTTCCTAAGATTATCTAATAGGCCAGAAATCTGAACTACTTTTCTTTTTTTTTTAAATTTAACTTTATTTTTTATTTTTTTTAAATTTACATCCCAATTAGTTAGTATATAGTGAAGCAATGATTTCAGTAGATTCCTTAATGCCCCTTACCCATTTAGCCCATCCCCCCTCTCACAACCCCTCCAGTAACCCTCAGTTTGTTCTCCATTTATGAGTCTCTTTTGTTTTGTCCCCCTCCCTGTTTTTATATTATTTTTGTTTCCCTTCCCTTATGTTCATCTGTTTTGTCTCTTAAAGTCCTCATATGAGTGAAGTCATGATTTTTGTCTTTCTCTGAATGACTAATTTCACTTAGCATAATATCCTCCAGTTCCATCCACGTGGTTGCAAATGGCAAGATTTCATTCTTTTTGTTTGCTGAGTAATACTCCATTGTATATATATACCACTTCTTCTTTATCCATTCATCTATCAATGGACATTTGGGCTCTTTCCATACTTTGGCTATTGTTGATGGTGCTGCTATAAACATGGGGGTGCATGTGTCCCTTCGAAACAGCACACCTGTATCCCGTGGATAAACGCCTAGTAGTGCAATTGCTAGGTTGTAGAGTAGTTCTATTTTTCGTTTTTTAAGGAACCTCCATACTGTTTTCCAGAGTGACTACACCAGGTCTACATCAGCGGTTCCCTCCAGATATATCTGTAATGCTCACTACCTTATCTTCAGGGATTTGCTTACATGTCTCCTTGAGTTCTTCCCCAACCATCCTATTTAAATTGCAGTTCTTCAAAAGCATTTCTTGATTGTCTCATGCCAATGATTTGTTTCTCTCCACAGTCCGTGTCACCGTCTGACATACTGTTCATTTTACTCGTTTGACTTCACTTATTATCTGTTTACCCTCTAGAATGTAAGCTCCATAGGAACAGAGGTTATTACTTATGTCCTGTCACCCAGAATAGTGCCTGGAACATAGTAGGTACTCAGTAAATACTTGTGGAATAAATGAATAGCTGATTTGAGCATAATTGCTTAAATCTACTCCCAACATATTATAGATCTAACCAATGTATTTCTAATGTTGACTTCAAATGCTCCTCAGGAGTGACTGAGAAAAATTGCACATATCATCCTGGAACAATCTGGAAGTGTTAGAGTTCTGGTCTTTGTCTGTCCTTCCTCTCTGTATCCTGCTCTGGGGTTCTGTGGACTGTTCTCTGTTGCAGTCATGTAGCGAGTCCTTAATTGTGTGCTGGCAAATACTTGGACTTTACAGTTTAAGTACTGTATCTTTATGAACTATATTTTCATAGCTCTGGCTGTTCCTTTTACATACTAGAAATAGAGGAAGTAAATTTTTTTCTTGTGTGCATGAAGTGCCTACCTCAGTTTCACACAGACGCCTGGGATTTTATTTTTCTGGCTTAATTACTTTATGCCTATGTGAAGCCCTTTTATATTCATGTATTTATTCCACTTACTCTCTTGGTATAGTCCATATTATTTGCTTTGAATTCACCCAAAATGGCCCACTTAATATCAGAATAGTTATTTTATGCACCAGTTATGTAGATGTGAGGTCTTCCCCCAAAGAACTCCAACCACTAGGCATTGTTTTAGTAAGCAGGAGATCATTTTCCTGGGGCTTCTTCCTGACCCAGCTAAAAGACACTGGATGATGCATTTCACTTTTAGGGGCTATTGCTAGGTTTTGAAAGTCCCTCATACTATAAATAGCACGTCAGGGAACACTCAGGTACACTGAACATTTTCTTTACACTCCACTTCAATGTTTGCAGGAGGAAAGTCACATGCCGTCTGGTTTGCACAGTCATTTGTCCCTTAGTGCCTCCCAGGTTCTAGACAGACCCACCCAAAGTGTACATTTTCTCATAAACACAGCATGTACTTTCAGCATACTTTGTGCCTTTGTTTATACTGCTTTCTCTGCCTGGCAAAATCCTATTCATCCTGTAAGATTCATCTCAAGTGAGAAAGCCTTCCCTGAGTTGGCTTGGCAGAAATTTGCCTTTTTCCTCCTGTGTGGGATTCTCCATAGCATTTAGAGCATACTTCTTCTACAACAATTTCAGCATTACGTTAGGGTCTGTTACATAATTTTTTATGTTCACAGTCTCCCTACATCCCAGGCTGTGAGTCTGAGGCCTGTGATTTTTTGTATCTTTGTATTTACCCTGGACAGTTAGCATAAGAAGCACTGAGCAACATTTGTGGAGGGAATTGAGGATTGTAGGAATTAATGAAATTGCACTCAGATAGGGGGATAGAATTCATTTGAGTTTGTTCCCAGTTTAATGCCATTAAAAATAGACCTGGATTTTTCTATTTTCCCTAGGAGACACGATGTACATGGTCACTTCAGGGAATCAAAGTTCCTTTTTCTTCTTTCTTTCTTTCTTTCCTTTCTTTCTTTTAGGAACAGGCTAGTGGATTCTTTACAAACTTCTTGGCATCTTTCTTTCCACATGCTCTTTTGCTCTGCCCAGTCTTCAATCAAATTCCTCCAATGGATCTGCTGTAAACAATGATTTTGTGAGCAGTTGTGTGTTCTCTGCAGTGAAAACCCGCCTTGTTTTCTGTTGCTAGGCAACCCCATTCCAGCTGCCCTTGAAGAAATGCGCGGTGGTGGGAAATGGTGGGATTCTGAAGAAGAGTGGCTGTGGCCGTCAAATAGATGAAGCAAATTTTGTCATGCGGTAAGAGAGAGCACCCACAGCGCGGCCTCTGCCTTCTCCCCTTTTCCCCACACCTCCCACAAGCCCTGGGGCCTTTCAAAACTAGTCACTTGTGATTAATCAATTGTAACTGCTCTTTAGCTTCCCTTCAAGTTCATGTACAAGTGAATTTAGGAGAGGGCTGGGGAGCAGGGGAACATGCCCCAAGAAAGTACAAAGCCAAGAAGGGTTCAGAGGTCATGGGGAAACCCAAAAGTAGAAACACTGAGCTTTTGTGTTAGATTATACAGTCAGGTGACAAAAACTTTAAAAATTGATTTAAAAATTGACTGTGAATACACATTTTCATTTATTCATTACACTCTACACCCTTTTCTTCTCTGTTTTTCACAAAAAATGTTTGTAAGTAGCCAGTGGGATTTGAAGAGGGATCTGATGATGTGTGTTTGGCTAGGAACACTGGAAGGAAGGAGGGGTCATAACTTTTGTGCAGGGAGGAAGCTTGGTAAAGGGACTGAGTGGTGACATGTCACTTCGAGGGGAAAATAGGAGGCTTCTACAGGGCCATGTAAAAGAATTGCTAAGATGCAGCCAGCCAGGGCTAGAGACCATCAACCTGTAGTGGTGCCAACCTGCACTTGTGGGTGATTTTGACCAGGAGTGAAGACAGCAAGTGATTGGATTAACATGAGTTTGCGATTGTGTGGCTGAGAGGGAGGAAGAATGGGGAGTGACAACATGGAGGATCCTGGCTAGAGAAAGTGTGAGGTGACACACCTTGAAGTCTGGGCTGGTTAGCAAGTGGGCTTTGAGGAGCATGATCAAGAGACGAAGGGCACCAAACGGGGCCAAAGGACAGGGTCATTCAGAGCCCCAAGGGAGTGGGTGGTGGCAAAGATGGAGAGATGGAATCATAAGAACCGATGTCAAAGAGTGGCCCACTGGAGTATATGATGGCAGAACTCAGTTTGTCTGGGGGATGATAGGACATGTGGCAGAAAAAGAAGACACATGTAACTGCAGAAGTGTAGGAACTTTGAAGCTGTATTGTGGAGATTCTTTCAGGTGGACCCCAAAGCCCAAAGTCTCCCTGAAGTAGGAATAACTATGACCCGTGTGCCAGAGGGCTCCAGGGCCAGGAAGATGGAGGCCTACAGCAACACAGAGGGAAGGAAGACGCTGAGTAAAGGAAGGGGAACAGTGGCATGGGATTTGGTTTTTGTGTTCATGTTTAAGGGTAAATAAATAATGGTCTAGAAATGGTCAAAGGTGGCTAAGAGTACACTAAACCACCTCTGAGCTCCATGGAATAGGGGAGAGTGAAAGCACTCCTTGTGAGTATTTCAGGGGAAGCCATGTACCTGGGGGAGGGCCAAGCTCCCACTCAGAGAACGAGAGTTGGGCTTCTTAGAAGAACTTTTTATCTTGGTGAAGCCTGTAGCACAGTGGGGAGATTCTTCTATATCTGTCTTTCCTTCATGGATGCGCCCTGCCATAGTTTTTCCAGTGTAGGACTATGTTTTCCTCTCCATTGCAATTATTATTATTATTGCAATATATATAAACAATAAGAAAATGTAGAAAATAATAATGTAGTTCTCATAATTCAAGTCAATACAGCATCTATTTATTGAGCTCCTGCTTTGTTTGGGCCTTAGCTGGGTCTAGAAACAGTACGTTAAACAATTCTGCCTTGGGGGCACCGGGGTGGCTCCATTGTGTCAGTATCCAGCTCTTGATTTCAGCTCAGGTCTTGATCTCATGGTTTGTGGGTTCCAGACCCACATTGTGGAATGGAGCCTGCTTGGAATTCTCTCTCTCCCTCTCTCTCTGCCTCTCCCCTACTCTCTCTCTCCCTCTCTCTCAAAATAAAGAAATACTCATTAAAAACATTAAAAACAAAACCAAAACTATTCTGTCTTGTATTTAGAACCTAGAGATGTGCTAGGGCTCTGATAGGGGTAATTCAGAGACAGAGGGTGAGGGATCAGGAACCTTCTGGTAAGTGGTGTGTGGAGTGAGCCCTCTCTCCATTTCACCCTGGGGACAGGAAGAGCCTTTCTGAGGCTTTAATGTGGAAAAGATGCCAAGTGCTGCCACAGTGCAGTGAGATGAGGCTGGAGAGATATTTATGCTATGGGAGTGGCCACTGTTTAGGTTGATGGGAAGAGCAAAGGCCCTGGGGCCAAACTCAGGTACCCACTTCAATGCACTGGCATTAGGGAGAGGCTGAGGAGCCAGCAAAGAGCACAGTGGGGAAGAGGGAGGAGACAAGCCCTTGCCACAAACTAGCTCTGTGACCTACTGCACATCATTTTTCCTTGCTGGGGCTCAGTTTGCCAGTCTTTATGAGGGAGTTGGAGTGGACAATTCCTCAAGCCTTTCCACTGTGGAAACTGGTTCTATCTGTGATTATATGAATAGCATGTAATTGTAACAGTTTGTGTAGTCTAGTTTATATTTTCAGCTTCCTCTTGAGTATGTTTATTTGCTCTTTCCAAAAACTATGTAAGGAACAAGGAGGAGTGGTTATTATACTCACAGATTCAGGGAATTTAAGTGATTTCAAGAGGCCTTAGTATAATCTGGCAGGAGGCAGTAACATAAATGTATTTTTATATTATTCCTAAGTGTGTATATGTGTGTGTCACTACATTTAGGAAGATGCATATTTTAAACTTAACGTGTTGAAGACTAGACCTAAGCATTTTAGGAGGTTATCTATATTTATTTATTGTAAATAAACAAGACTAAGACTGCATTATAGGCCATCAACATTGCTGTATTCAAATTCAGAATTAATGAGTGTTTGTGGTTAGGGTGCATAGCCCAGCATTAAGCATAATGTTCATAGAGTAATGGGAGAGGTGAGGACTAAGAATTCAAAGAGTTAGAGTGATGTGTGCATGTGCCTTTGATTTAATTTCAAGAATAGCACCATTTTCTTTTTTTAAATTGAACTATAATTAACATTAGTTTTAGGTGTACAACATAATGATTTGTTATTTGTACGCGCTGAAACAATCACCACAATAAGTCTCATTTCCCCATTACCATATAAAATTACATAATATGCAATAGGGTAATTATTGACTATAGTCATCATGCTCTATGTTACTCCCATGACTTATTTATTTTCTGACTGGAGATTTGTATTTCCTGACCCCCTGTTCCCATTTCTCCCACTCCCATCCCTGTCCCCTCTAATAACACCAATCTGTTTTCTCCATCTATGAATTTTGTTTTGTTTTGTTTGTTTTGTGTTTTTGATTCCACATATAAGTGAAATCACAAAGCATTTGTCTTTCTCTGTGACTTAGTTCACTTATGGTAATACTCTCAAGGTCTATCTGTGTTGTGACAAATGGCAAGATTTCATTCTTTTTTATAACTGAGTAGTATTCCATTGTATGTATATACCTCATCATCTTTATCCTTTCATCCATTTTTTAAAGTTTTTATGTACTTATTTTTGTGAGAGAGGGAGAGACAGAGAGTGAGAGAGAACAAGGAAGGGGCAGAGAGAGAGAAGGAGAGAGAGAATCTCAAGCAGGCTCCATGTTGTCAGCACAGATCCCACAAACTGTGAGATCATCACTTGAGCCAAGATCAAGAGTCAGATGCTTAACCAACTGAGCACCCAGGCGTCGCTATCCTTTCATCCACTGATGGACACTCTATGTCTTTTGATTGGAGAATTTAGTCCACTTATATTTAAACTAAGTATAGGTAGGTATGTACTTTTGTCATTTAGTTCATTGTTTTCTGGCTTTTTCTAGTTCCTCTTTGTTTCTTCTTTTGTACTCTCCCCCATATGGTTTGATACCTTTCTTCAGTGTTATGTTCCAATTCCATTCTTATTATCTTTTGTATATCTACTGTAAGTTTTTGCTTTGTGGCTACCATGAGGCTTACATATATCAGCCTATATATTCAGACTAGTCTATTTTAAGTTGATAGTAAGTTAAGTTTGAATACATACTAAAACCATACATTTTTAGTCCTCTGTCCATGTTTTGTTTTTGATGTCATGTTTTACATCCTTTTATTTTGTGTATCCTTTAACTAATTATTGTAATTATAATTATTTTTACTCGTTTTATATTTTAACCTTCATGGTAACTTTGTAAATGATTAGTCCATTACCTTTATTATATATTTGCCTTTACCAATGAAAATTTCACTTTCATATGTTTTCTTGTTATTAATAAGTGCCCTTTCTCTTCAGTTTAAAGAAGTTCCTTAAATTTTTTTTAATGTTTATTCATTTTTGAGAGACACAGAGATACAGGGCATGAGCAGGGGAGGAGCAGAGAGAGAGGGAGACACAGAATCCGAAGCAGGCTCCAGGCTCTGAGCTGTCAGCACAGAGCCTGAGGTGGGGATCAAACCCATGAACCATGAGATCATGACCTGAGCCAACGTCAGACACTTAACTGAGCCATACAGGTGCCCTAAAGAAGTTCCTTTAATGTTTCTTGTAAGGCCAGTTTGGTGGTGTTCCTTTAGTTTTTGCTTGTCTGGAAAGCCCTCTATCTCTCCTTCAATTGAATGATAACCTTGCCAGCTACAGTCTTCTTGATTGGCAGTTTTTTGCTTTCCATACCTAGAATATATCATGCCATTTCCTTCTGATCTGCAAGGTTTCTGCTAAAGTCTGAATATAGTCTTAAGAGGGTTTCCTTATATATATTAAGTTGTTTTTCTCTTGCTGCTTTAAGATTCTATCTTTAACTTTGATATTTTTTAAACGTTTATTTATTTATTTTGAAAGAGAGAGAGAGAAAGAGAGAGAGAGACACCAGGGAAAGGACACAGGAAGAGAGAGAGAGGGAATCCCAAGCAGGCTCTGCTCTGTTAGCATAGAGCCCAACACAAGGCTCGATCCCACAAACCATGAGATCGTGACCTGAGCCAAAATCAAGAGTTGGGTGCTTAACTGACTGAGCCATCCAGCACTCCTAACTTTTGACATTTTAACTATAATGTGTCCTCGTGTGGGTCTCTAGATGTATCTTTTT